TGATAATGGAATAGTTTAGGTTAGATGGGCTTCAGATTGGTTTCACAAGTCGGCGCAACATCGAGGGCCGAAGGGCCTGTACTGCGCTGTAATGTTCTATGTTCTATAAGCCTATTTTTGCCACCTTATCTACCTGTCCTGCCACCTTCAATGATTTGTGGACCTGCACACCTCGATCCCTCTGCATGTCAATACTCCTCAGGGTTCTGTCATTCACTGTATAATTTGTACCTGTATTTGACCTTCCAAAATGCATCACCTCACATTTGTCCAGATTAAACGCCATCTGCCATTTTTCTGCCCACGCCTCCCACAGATCTATATCCTCGTGTATCCTCTGACAGTCCTCTTCAATATCCTTGAGTGATTTCTTCAGTGTTATAAATCTTTGGAATTCTCTGCTCGGGTTGTTGAGTATCTTTAAGACAGAAATCACTACAATTTGGACACTCAAAGTCCAGGGATTTAGGATAGGATAGGAGGAAAGTTGAGCAGTCTACAAGGCCATTTGATCTACTCCAACCCCTATTTCTTGTTTTCTTAATAACTCATTATTTTTCTGTTTTCTCAGGTAACCAGCTGGCCAATAAAATATTAATGGGGTCTGACTATTATAGTCATCGGATCTCTCACGAGAAACACCATATGGCCCCTCTCAAATCCTTTTCCATCTGAGCTCAAATCCTATTTGCATCCCTACATTGGGGAACGCAATTTGGAGCAAAGCATGGCTTCCACTTATTTTACAGAGTCCTAATTGGACAGGTCAGGTGCCAACAGACCCCCCAATAACTGATTGAATCTTCTCTAATGAATGTTTTAAAAAATTGAAGTTTTCCATTTCCTTTCAGCTTAAGAAGTTATAAATTTTTATCACACTTACTTGCATTCCGTTTCCAACAACTGCAATTGGAGTTGTGTTGATCTCCTGCTGCATTGGGAATTTCCTCCATCATATTGGGACTTTGGTTTAAGGCCTCTGTAGTGTCTGTCTGCACAAAGTAATTCACGTCACTTGGGGGACACACCTGATTGCGATTACGTTTCAGAGCCATAGACACCCTCTTGATCATTTGTGATGTAAAGTAGTGATTGCCTACAAAACCTTTCCTAGCCTTGAGTCCCCCTTTTAGAAGGACCTGGGTCTCAGGCTGGTTTTGGGCGGTGAATTGTAATTGGCAGGTAGGTGGGCACTGGAAGTTTGGATGGACCTGGGCCTCTAGTTGGAATTGGCTTGAACTCCCAATTTGTTCCATGCTTTTTACTGATGTGATGCTGCACGTGTCCTTGGGCCTGAGCTCCTCTTCACTGCCCTGTGATGACGTACTCTGGGTGTCCAGTTCTTCAGGGACCTCCAACTGTGTAGTCTAATGAGAAAGTCAACATTTGAGGTCATCAGCAGGATAGAAGTAAGTAGGTGACAGAGTTGGAACAATTTATAACAATGACACCAAACTTATTGCATATTATCTATTACTACCAGCTTTAAACATAGAAATCTCTTTGCTGTAATTGTGTTGAAGGGTGTAGCAGTGTGAGCAGTTTTACAATTAAGGCATTGCTGCTATACAATTCAGACTGTGGTCCATACTACCTGGATGATAAGTAACATGACAAATACATTACACTACAGTACCAATGGTGTGTCAAAATACAACACACTGTAGCCCACACAATCAAGACCATTGTACTTATAAAAATATATGATTAAGTTTTGTTCTAGCTCCTGCTGCACAGGCATATCATGCACATTTGAAAAACAGATAAACATTATCTAATTATATTAGAGTTGAAACCATACAGTGAACTGAGGCCAAGATCCTGGTTGAATTTAATCCCTGTTTACCTACCATCACTTGTACCAGCCCTGACTGAGATCAATTAAGTCAACGGGGAGTGCAGAACCAATATAGGAACCCTTTTCACAGTGCTTGGTCTCTTAGGAGAGTCATGCTGATCAGTGACCACTGGACAGTCTCTCTCGTTTTAGAAACACATAATAATTCAGCAAAGGATTAGGGCCATTCAGCCCATCAAGTCTGTAGCAGCCATAAGTTCTTCAGAATGACGAAGAGTCATACTGGAATCAAAACGTTTCTCCCTCCACAGATACTGCCAGACCTGCTGAGTTTCTCCATCATTTTTCTGTTTCTTCCCTTACGTTACCTTGGTTCTTTTGCTAGTTGCCATTAATTCTGTGCTCTCTGGTTATCTATCCTTCAGCCATCGAGAAAGGTTTCTCTTTTATATTCTATCTAAATACCTCATGTTTTTAAACACTTCCATTAAACCTCTTCTAATTCTTTTCTACTCAAATCAGAATAGCACCAACTCTTCCTATCTATTCCTCATTAGACTTTTGAAAATTAAAGAACTTTTTTATTTAGTTTGTTGCACAAATTCAATATACAACAGGAAATAGAAAGGAAGTAGTAATGGAGTACCTACTTAGCTCTGCGTCCAAACCCCATAAAATTAAGTTACACTGAGAGGGAATTGCAACATTAAATACTGACTCCTTCGTGGTTGATGTACATCAAGTTACATTAAGTAGAGAGAGGGGAGGGGGATCTCATAGAGACTTATAAAATTCTAACAGCCCCGTCAGAGTAGATGCAGGGAGAATCTTCCCGATGGTGGGTGTGTCCAGAACCAGGGGTCACAGTGTGAGGATTTGGGATAGACGATTTAGGACGGAGATGAGGAGAAATTTCTTCACCCAAAGAGTGGTGAGCCTGTGGAATTCATTACCACAGGAAGCAGTTGATGCCAAAACATTGAACGTATTCAAGAGGCAGCTAGATATAGCACTTGGGGCGAATGGGATCAATGGTTGTGGAGAGAAAACAGGATTAGGCTATTGAGTTGGGGTAATTTTTCTGGAATTGGGTCTCTGTAACAAGAGAAAGGTTGAAATGTCATTTTTCTGCAGATTTTAAGAATAACCTAACAGTCTTCTTTACTTAAATAGCTTGGTTTTAGTTTTTAATTATTGTGTTTTTGTGTAAGAAGGTTCTGTTCTGTTGTTAAAGAAAATCTGCAACCTTCTTTGACCATGCTTTAGTGACTAACCACCACATTAACTAATTTGAAAAACCATTGTCTAGTTGTACCATCAGCTAGAATTATAACAGTGATGACAACAAAAAAAAATTCAGAACGAGGTATCAGATTAATTTGATTTTGTCAGGATGTTGAAAGACAGCAACAGCAAAAAAATCTGATATTTTGATGGATTATAAGATGTCAAGTTACCGAAGCTGGAAGATGCTATTCACTATTTGAATAAAAGGAAAATACTGTGGCTGCTAGAAATCTAAAATACAGCACCCACTCAAAATGCTATAAGCTAACAGCGCATCTGGCAGCAAATGCAGAGACGGAAACAGAATTTGGGTTCCAGAGCTTCTAACGAAAGTATTAACTTTGTTTTATGTCTCTCGCCACTGAGAATTGCCCAGCTTTTTGTTTCCATTCATCCTTTATCACTTGATTTAATACTGATAAATCAAATGATGTAGAAAAAGGAAACATCAGAGACTTGAAATAAAATGCTAATTCCTTAATAATGGATCAATAATACTAATAGTCAATAAAATATAGCACAGGAGGAGGTAATTCAGCCTATCAAGTCCAAACTGGCTCTCTCATGCTAGCACCTGCAAGTCTACTTCACTTAAGCACCAACTCAATTTCCTTCTGAAATCACCACATCCATTTGGACCACCATTGGAGGCAATATGTTCCAGGTCAAAACCACTTGCTGCATAAAAACAAAAATCCTCCTGCATTTCTTGTTCAAAATCTTAATTAGGTCAATGTCCACCAGACGTCGTAGTACAAGCTGAAGGGAGCAGCTTTCACCTCTATCAGATCTCTCAATCTCCTTTACTCCACACAGAAAAACCCCAGATTTTCCAACCTAACCTTGCAATTAAAATCCCCCATCACTGGAACCATCTGAATATACATCAGGAATTGTTCCCTCTCAAGGAACATTACAGCCTTCAAAAATCTTGATGATCATAACACAACACAATATTCAGATCATGAGACTGTAGATTATTCTTGAAAATTCATCTGATTAACTAAAACCCTTTAGAGAAAAGGATTGTCATTTTTACCTAGTCTGGCCAACAAATGACTGCAGATCCATACAATGTGGTTGACTCTTAACCATCCTCTGAAATGGCCTTAATAAGTCACTTGGTTGTATCAAGCCAGCACAGAAATAAGATCTTCATGAAATATCCTTGATACTTACACAGGATGCAATCTCCAGAGATGAATTGGGCACTAATTGGACCCATTCCTGTGCCTCTTCTTTGATCTCTGTATATAATTTGTCCTCTGTCTGGAAATGGCTTTCTGCTTGGTCGTCTGGTTCAACATAGGCTTCTGGCTGGGTTTCAGCATCTGACTTGACCTCTTGCTCTTCATTGTGTGGCTCACTGCTCGACATTTGGGCTTCTGGCTGAATCTCTGTCTGTGCCTCTGGCTCAACCTGGACCTGGGCTAGTGGTTGGGCTTCCACTTGAGCCTGGTCTTGTGCTTCCTGTTGTGCTTGGTCCCAAACCTCTGACAGAACTGGGTCTAAGGCCTGAGGCTCAGCTTGCTGTGGGTCCTGGTCCTTTGACTGAACCTGGTCCTCAGCCTCCTGCTGAACATGTCCTTGGGCCTCCTGAGCCTGGTCCCAGGTTTCTGGCTGAACCTGTCCCGGGGCCTCCCAATGTGCTTGGCCTAAGGCCTGTTGTTGAACCTGATCCTGGACCTCTGTCTGTGCCTGGTTGCAGGCCTCTGCTTGAACCTGGTCCTTGGCCTCTTCATAAGCCTGGTCCAGAGGTACTATTTGAGCCTGACCCAGATCCTCTGTTTGATCCTGGTCCTGGGCCTCATGCTGCATCTGCTGCTGAACGACTGGCTGAATCTGGTCCATGGTCTCTGACAAAGCTTTGCCCTGAGTCTCCTCTGGAGCCACTGTTTGGGCATGGGCCTCAGGTTGAGACTCTGACTGAGCTCGGGGCTCCAGTTTGACTTCTTGTGGAGTCTCTGATGGGGCCTCTGGCTGAGGCTCAGTGAATGCCTCATTTTCAGACTTTACCAGGACTTCTAATTGGTCCAGGTTCTGGTCCAAATCCTTTGCTTGCGTTTGAGTGTGGCTGTTGCTTTCTGGGGTTCTGTCAGTGCTGTCCAAAGTCACCATACACAGTCCATCAACTTGCTCCATGACATTCAGTCCTGAATCAACATCAGTACTGTCTGGAGGTGTTCCATCACTCTTCTCCACATTCTCATTCTCAGCCTCACTTGTTCCCTGGATCGGGCACCTCTCTGCTTCGGGAACAGGGCTGGTCTGTGAAGAGAAAAGCACGGCTTTAAAAGATTGATACTCAAAAGATAGATTTTGTTTGCCAAATATTAATAAATTACAATCTGCAGGTATTGCCAGATGAACTCTGTGCATGAAAAATGACCATCATCATTGGTTTCTTCCTCAAGAAAAGATGTAATGAGGGTACATATGAGACTGATTGGAATATCAGGGATGAAATTGAAAAGAAAAGTTATGTTTATCTCAATGCTTTAAGATAGATAATTCAACTATATTACTGTTCCCGGTATTTGAATGGCTCTAATAGCATAACTCTGCCAAAGAGCTAGCACAGGCAGGATGAGCCAAATAGTTCTTTCAATACTATATCATTCTCTGATTGTATGACCATGTTGAAAGGATTTCCTATCCCTCGGCTCAGGCCAATGAAATATAACATTTCTCCAAATCTCTGTTGCTGGGGTGTGGAGCAAAGACATTTCACTGAGTTAGGCTTCCCTCATAGGTGAGCCTCCTAAGTGAGTGTTCAATGCCTATTTGACAGTCACAGGGCACATCTGATCCTTACTGCATGTATATATGTGCAAAGATATGCTGACAAGCCATGAGGAGCTATAGACCTCTCCTCATGGAGAGGTCCCTCCTCTAGCACAGATTACTGGCAGAAGGAATCTCCTTTGAAATTCAGAACATCGCGAGGAGCTTTGAAACCCCACAATACTAAAATTGAATCATTATCCAATGAGCAAATTAAAATAAAATTCTTCGCCTTCAGAATTAATTGTCTCGATAACTGGGTTCACTTCAGTTCATTGCTAAATTTTGTGTACTTTTCTCTAAGCTGATTATAAGTGAAAGTTATTAAATTTGGGTTCAATTTTAACTCCTGTGCATGGACCATGGAGCAGAAATAGCAGAACATTTATTCCTCAACCAATATTACGAAAAAATGCAGGTTACCTGCTAATTACCTCATTGATGTTTGTGGGATCATGCTGTTCTCAAATTAGTTGCAGTGCTTTTTTTCCATTATAATCTTCTCCTCCGGGAGGAGACTGCCTGGCCGTTGGATTCCCATGATAGCTTGCAGGGACCCAGGAGCAACATCCCTAGCACATAGTTCCAGGAAAGGGGAGAGATGATGTGTCGGAAGGAAGGATTATTCTGGGAGTCAGGGGAAGCCCAAAGAATCCATTCCAATTTCCTTGGGAGCCCGCATTCCAAATAAAATTATACACATTGTACCATCCTCAAGATGCACCACTGCTACTTGCCAGGAATTCTTCTTCAACACCTTCTAAGCCTGCACCTTTTTACTACATCTAAAGCACAAGGACAACAGGTGAATGGAAACAGCACCACAAAATCAAACAGGCATCTTGATGTGGAACAATACTGTCATCTATCGCTGTCACTGTATCAAAATCGTTGCATTCCCTTCATAACAGCATTAAGTATGTAACAAGTTCTGACCATGAACTCTGTCATCTATTTTAACAGTTTTTACCTCCAAGAGTCTATAATGTTTTCATGTTTTGGCTTTCAGCAAAGCTGACCTTTATTCTGCTATTAACATCTGCTATTGATATCTACTACAGGCCTACTTCGTCCCTTCTCTACACCATTATCACTCCCTTTGCCCATTATTTTTGCAATACCTTTAATCTCCAATCTCCCTTGTATCCTAACCTTTCCTTGACTTTCCTTTTTGTTTTACCTGCTTCTTCCTACCTTTCCAAAAACATAAAGCCATCAATTTTCCACATCTCTTCAGTTCTGAAGAGGAGGTACATCAGATTTGAAACATTCATTCTGCTTTCTCTCTCTACAGATGCTGCCAGATCTGCTGAGTTTTTCCAGCATTCCGTTTTTATTTTAGATCTTCTGCGTCCACAGTATGTTGCCTTTGCTACATTAATGTGGGTAGATTTGCACCACCATCAGCTTTAGGCCAGATGGGCAAGGATGGGCAATTAATGCTGGCCATGCCAATGACAGTCTTATCCCACAAATGAATTTTTAAAAAATATATCATTCTATGACCACATTAAAAGGATTTCCTATCCCTCAGCTTAGGGATTTTTAAAAATTGAAAATTTGCCCCTCTTCCGGCCCTAGCTTCTGTTCCTGACAGATTTGACCCTAATGAGGAGACCGATGTTCTCACTCGCACAGGCTTCAGATTGAATTAGTAGATCAAGACCCATTGACTATCACTGTTTATTAAAAGAGGACCCTGTTGAAGAGACTTTGGGCAGTTGTCTTTGTGACCAAAATTTACCACCAGATCTACTCAGGAAAACGCTGAGTCAGTCCTTCATTCCATTTCGACTGATCATTGCCATATGGAAATGAATTGAAATCAAAATTTAAGGTTGGAGAATTGAACACTGTGTGTCTTGGGAACCCAGGGTCAAGATGAATCACTTGCAGGTTAGGTGCATGGGATAGCTATCCACACCTCCCTGATCAGGCTCATCTCCTCTATCTCATGAACAGTAACCAGCCACCCTGCTATCATAGTGATACACATTCCTGTTGATGCACCAACTCTCCAAAGGTTGTCGTGCATAACAGCAGTTTCATTCTTATAGCGCCATAGCCAGTGAAACCTGGGTAGGACAGCCCAAACCCAATTCTCACAGTGCAGTGAGAAAATGACTTTAATAGTCTGGATATGACTTGAACCCAGATTCTAAATGTCAATCTCTAACATACAGCATGATCCAGTATTTTACTTCAATGAATTCAGTATGGAATGTGAAGTAATCTTTGTGCACCCTGGATGCTAAAGGGAAGAACTTGCATCATATAGACCTTATCATGATCTTTGTCATTCCAAAGAACTTTACAACAAATGAAGTACTTTCTGAAGTGTCACTACGTAATAAAGAAATGAAGCAGCCAATTTGCACATAGCAAGTTTCCAAAAACACCAATGTGATAATAACCATTACACTAATATTCAGGAATGTTGGTTGAGGGTTAAATGTTGAGCAAGACAACTTCCCTACTCTTCTTCAGTTCTGCTGTCAGACGGGGCAGGATCTCCATGTATCATCTCATCCAAAAGATGGCACCTCTGACACTCCCTCTGAGTATCAGCCTAGATTTTAGTCCTCAAGTCTCTGGAGTGGGAATTGAACTGTCAATGTCCTGACGTAGGGGGTAAGACCCTATCTGCTGAACCGCTGCTGAGACCCAATAAACTGAGTTTTGTCTCATCACAAAACAGTGAGTCAGGAAAAGTGATGTAATTACAGCAATGGGGGCTGGCGGTGTTGGTGGCTTCTGCTTCATCAAGGTTGTCGATGAAAGATTCTTCTGGTTCTGCGACTCTCCCCGTAGGTTCCTCTCTGGGTACTTCCGCCCTTTCAGCAGTAATTCCTTCTGTTCCTGCTTCTGCCGGATCTCTTGGCGCATCTGCCTGGAGAGACAAGATGAGAAAATATTTTATCTTGTTTCTCAATCCACCCCTCAAATTTTCTACCCTCTTGTCATGAAAGGAGTGACTGTTCTTGCCCTGGGCATGGGCAGCCAAATCTTCAGCTCACCGCCATTTATCATGGTTGAGCCCTCTTTGTTAACTGAGTGCTGGTGGTCTACTTGACCAAAGCTGGTGACGGGGTGAGGGGCAAACAAAGCATACAAAGAGATCCCAACACTGCACACATCCAAGATCTACATTCCTACACTTCTCACAGGGGGCATGGATAGTGATTGCTAAGTTATCCCCTTTCTCCCAGCACAAGAGAAGTTTTATCAGTGGAAACGTCACCAGCTCTGTCCCACCGTATTCAGCAAACTCAGCAGAAAACAAAGGCACATGATGCAAACGTGCCTAGTCTGCATGGTTCAGGTCTAGACCAGCTACACATTTAGCAAGTGACCCAATTCAAGCAACCCATTATTCTTCCTCAATCAAAAACAACTCAAGTCCAGGAGCCGAAATAATATTCAAGGAGAGTAGCTATTGGAGTAGAGGACTGTCAGCAAAGGGGCAGTGAAACATACCCAGTTAATTGCAGAAATGAAGGAGACAGACATAAATCAACATAAATTCTACCTGGCACATTCTTCCCGAGCCTTGGAGGCAATAGTTTCCTGGAAAAGCGAATGTTTGTATTTCAAGAATTTGTCATATTTTTCTGAGCCAGCAATGGGATAAATTCTTCTGAAGCTCCCCATGTTTTCGTCTTCATACTTTTCCATCTGCTCCACCCAGGCAGCCTGGTTGCTTTTTATTTCATCAGCTCTAATTTGAAGAGAAAGGTAACAATTATTTCTTCTGTTCTGTACTCTTGGGACAGGTCTCAATCTTTGTGTTCCTAAATTGCCCAGTCTTTACCCTTTCATTCCTCCTCCATGACAACCAGGATTTCAGGAGAGACCTCTTTAGCCAAAGAAGTCATGAGAATGTGGAAATCACAATTACAAGGAATAGTTGAGGTTAGTAGCAGGGATACATTTATGGGAAAGCTGGATAAACACAGGAAGGAGAAATGAATAGAAGAATATGTTAAAAGGTTCAATGCAGCCACAACTCTTTCTCTGATACATCGATGACATCATCAGAGTGGCTTCCCTCTCTCATCTGGTATTGGAAAAATCCATTAATTTCACTTTGAATTTCCACCTCACTCTCACCTTCACATTGTGCATCTCTGACTCCTCTTTTCCCTTCCTTGATGTGTGTTCCATTTCAGGGGATAGGCTGGCAACCAATATCTACTACAAACCCACTGACTCCCACAGTTATCTTCATTATACATCCCCACAACCTGCTTCCTGTAAAGATTCTATTCCATTCTTCCAGTTCCTCTGTCTCTGTCACTTCTGCTCCAACGATGCCAACTTTGACAAGGGAGCCTCCGAAATGTCCACCTTCTTCCTCAACCGAGGATTCTCCAACACCGTGGTTGACAGGGCCCTTATCCAGGTCTGACCCATCTCCCGCACTTCAGCCCTCACCCCTTCTCTTCCCTCCACAACAGCAATAGGATCCCCCTCATCCTCACCTACAATCCACCAGCATTTACATCCAAAGGGTCATTCGCAGCCATTTCTGCCACCTCCAGCAGGATGCCACCATCCCTCCCTTGTCAGCATTCTACAGGGACTGAGTTCTGAGGAAGGGTCACTGGATCCAAAACATTAACTCTGATTTTTAATTCATAGATGCTGTCAGACCTGCTGAGCTTTTCCAGCAACTTTTGTTTTTGTTCCACAGGGACTGTTCCCTCTGGGATGCCTGGTTCACTCCTCCTCCACTCCTAACACCTCCACACGCCTCCACAGCACTTTCCCATGCAACTGCAGAAGATGTAACACCTGCCTGTTTACTTCCTCCATCCTCACTTGCCAAGGTCCCAGACACACCTTCCACATGAAGCAGTGATTTACCTGCACTTCATTCAATCCAGTCTACTGCATTTACTGCTCACAATGTGGTACCCTCTGCATTGAAGAGACAAAGGCAGACTGGGTGGCTGCTTTGCAGAACATCTATGTTCTGTCCGCAAAAATGACCATGAGTTTCCAGTTGCCTACAATTTCAACACACCACTTTTGTCTGGCCAACATATCTGTCTTGGGCTAGTTGCAGTGCTCCAGGAACTCAGTGTCAGCTGGAAGCTTCAGTTTCTGCTTGAGAACTCTGCAATCTTCTGGACTCAATATCGAGTTCAATAATTTTAGGGCCTGAGCACCTTCTTCCATCTCCTTACCTCAACTCCCATACACCAGGCCCTGTCATCACGTGGACTGCTACCACAAACAATCCACTGTCAGCTATTAACCGACCCCAAAAGCAGCTATTCATTCTCCCAGGCTGACCTTTACCCATTCCTTTATCTACCCAACTGTTTTTCTCTCTCTCTGGGCTCCATCTCCACCTATTGTTTACTCTTTCCCATACCACACCCCTCTCCTTTAGTGCATATATCGACCTTTTCCTAACTACAATCGGTTCTGAAGTCACTGGACCTGAAATGTTAACTCTGCTTTCTCTCCACACATGCTGCCAAGCCTGATGAGATTTTCCAGCAATTTCTGTTTTAGAGCCTATGACCTGTTCCACAATTCATTTAGATGGTGGTCGGTCTGCATCTCAACATTATATATATGCATCTTTACTGCATATCCCTTGATATACTATCCAAATAAATAGATCAGTCTTGAAGGGTCCAGCATTTGTTGCTTTGTGTGGGAGAAAGTTCTGCACTTTTAACCATAAGCTGTGCAATAAAAATGCTTCCTAAATTTGTTTCAGCCTAGCTCTGACATTAGGGATGTGCCTTTTGTTATTAAATTTGTCTCCTGGTGTGAAGTAATGCTCACAGAGAGCAGAGGGCCAAAAGTACAAATCACTGAATTCCATCAAACCAACAGACAGATAATGAGATAGTAGGAACTGCCGATGCTGGAGAATCTGAGATAACAAGGTGTAGAGCTGGATGAACACAGCAGGCCAAGCAGCATTAGAGGATCAGGAGAGCTGGCGTTTCGGGTCTAGAGTCTAGACCCGAAACATCAGCCTTCCTGCTCCTTTAGACAGATAATGAGCTGGGTTTTGACCGCCAAATTGGATGAGATGCATTCTGGGAGATAGCCTCAGAATTCCAGCTACGTGACCCTCACACTCACGGCCACTGTATACATAAAGCCCTAGTTAAACCGCATCCAGCGAACAGCACTCAGTTCTGGGTATCATTTTCAAGAGGGTGTATTTGCCTCAATAGATTTAGCAGAACGACACCTGAATTCCAGGGATTAAATTACAAAGGGAGATTACACAACTGTAATCATTGCAATTCTGAAGGTTATAGGGATGATTTGATCAAAATCTTTACGATATAAAGATTAAGGGAGTTGATAGAGTAGCTAAATAGGAACTATTCTGCTAGTTGAAGAATCTGGGGCCAGAGACTTAGCCTAAGAACTACAGCCAGATGTTTCAGCAATGAAATTTGAAAATATTTCTACATGAAAAATATAAGTATTTTGGAACTTGGCCACAAGTGCAATTGATTTTAATATTCAAAATTGACAACTGATCTAAATTATTAGCATTTTATTAATTTGAGTTATTTAGTGATACAGGGCAAAGGCAGGTGAATGGACTTAGATCACAGATCAGCCATAGTGTCTTTGAATGGCCGAACAGACTAAAGGGCCTACTCCTGTTTCTATATTTCTATTTGTTAATTGAAATTTTTCACGTTCTCTCTCCAACACAATGTTACCTGTCCTCACGGGATTTGTAGATATGAAGGAGTCGCTCATTTGTTCGACGCCTCTCTTCTTCTAGAACTTTCCGCCGGTCACAAGCACCGAGATTTATCATACAAAAAGTATCGTAAAGGAGGTTATCTTTCACTTCTTGGTCAAGTTTGGAGTCAGTGGTAAAACTTGGAGAATGATTAACCTGTAATAGTCACAATAAAATTTGCTCAGGAATAAATAACAGAGAATAGCAGCTGGTAAGATGCACATCCTGCTAAAAGTAATTGACTGTTAAAGGGGCACTGGCTCTAATGAGTTGTCACTAACACCTAGAAACATAACAAGTAGATAATGGCACAGAGAAGTCAGGTTTAAGGTAATTGGCAAAAGAGTCAGAGGGCAGATTTGAGGAATTATATTTTAAAATCAAATGAGTTGAGTTGAGCTGGCTGGATAGGCGATGGAAGGAAATTCAATCCAACAAAACAAAAAATGTTCTGAAGAAGAGTCACTGGACCCAAAACACTAACTCTGCTATCTCTCCACAGATGCTGCCAGACTTGGAGTTTTTCCAGCAACTTCTGTTTTTGAAGCAAATTCAACAGTAGCTTCAAAAAAATATTGAGAGAAAATTTGCTGGGCACTGGTAAAAAGGATAGTAAAGAAAAACAAATTGGATTATTCTTTCAAAAAGCTGGTACAGGCATAACTGGCTAAATACATCCTTCTCTGCCTTACAACTCTACCTTATCTGCATACTGGTGAAATATCTACCTAGAGTATACATAATTATCATAAAGATCTCTGTACCTCCAGCAACCAGGGTTTCAAAGATTGGTCCAGAAGGATATCAAAGCCAAGGATCTCAAAGCAAGCACTGCCAGAAATATGGTTCGGGAAGCACGTGAGGTAGTTGTGTTTCAGAACCGGATATGCAGCCAGGATAGTTTTGATGATCACATCTTCAATGCTGCTCCACAGCCTCTCCAAGTCATAGGCATTGTTCTCCATGTACTTGTTAAAGAAAGATAGCTTTCTGGAAAAAAAATAGATGTCACAGACTAGTCAGCTCCCAACTTTCATAAATCATTTATCTGTCAGATGGCCTTATCTAACTTGTAGCATCATTTAAAACACTACAACAATGCATAATAATAGAATGAATTGATAAAAGAGGCAGTCAGTTTTTTCCCCTTTTCTCCTTGCTCAATTCTGAAGAAAAGTTGTATTGGACTCAAACTTAAGTCCGTTTCTCTCTCCACAGATGCTGCCAACATGCTGAGTTTCTCCAACAAATTTGATTTTTATTACAGATTGCCAGCATCCACAGTACTTTGCAATAACAACAGGCAACCAACAAAGCAGTTATTAATGCTTATCATTTTTTTCTCTCTCTCCCAAATCCTTGCTCAAATATGGGATATGGGTACTAGTACCCCTCTTTGCATGGCCCATAATCCGTGTAAAAGCCCAGAAGGGGACAATTTTAAACTGAAGTTTTTTAAACATACAGATTATAAATTATTGAGGCTCATCTGCAATAGTAACTGGAGGCTTGAGCAGAAAACAGTGACATTGTTCCTATCAAGTCACAGTTTTTGGGAATAGGTTCTAAATTCAGAAAGAACCCAGAAATGTAAATATCATTTTGTTTTCTTCCTCAAATTCCTTTGTGGATCAGGAGCTCCCCTTTGGTTCCTGGGTGGAAAGCCTAGACCCCCTTCGTCTCTCCCGCCCTCTTCTTCCAGCTGCAATGTCTGTCCTGCCCCCTTGAGGGCATACCACAAGGCCACAGGGTCACCAGCACCGGCTAGTTGTGTCCCTTGAAGTTTCACTGCTTTCAACAATGCCCACACCCTCACTGCTCCCACATTGGCTCAATGTGTCCATCCCTGTAAGGCAACACCTTCCCACAGCCAATCAGAAATCCAACAAACTCTCTGGTACCCAAATGGATGACTTCTGACTGCCAAACGACAGCTTTCTTTACTTTCGATATTTTTATAATTCATACATGAAAATATTCAATGAAAAAGAAATTAACGCCCCAAATGATTTTTCTCCCTGGGTTTTCTTGCAGCAACAATGACAGATCAATCTTTGGCTCTTGTAGACGGCAGAATAACACAATTGTGTCGATGACTTTTCACTATAGTCCCCAGATGGCAGTCTCCTGCAAACTGATGTCAATGTCCAGACAGGTGCTTACTGATAACCTCCTTGCTGTTTTGATCAAGCAATTGGCCAGCAACATGTCGATGAGTTTAAATGGATGAGGCCTCCCTACTGCCACCTCTGGATCAGTAGGCTGCTCACGAGCTTCAGCTCCCTCAACTGGAGTGTCAGTCAGTATTTGAGCATTAACTATCAGTAAAGCAGAACATTTCCTTCCAAGGCAGACACACTTATTTCTGACAATCAACCACATTTGGAAAGTTTGCATTGACTCACTATTTGATTTGGTGCCTCATTTTATATCAAGCAGATGAAGGGACGGATTGTGGCAACCAAAGCATCAGGAGCCTAAAGCCTAAACACCCAAATCCATATTTCCCATCATTGTTTTTTTCTTAATTATACTTTTATGGGAGTGAGCATTTACTACCCATCCTTAACTGCCCTTGAGTAGGTGGTGGTGGTGAGCTGTCTTCTTGAACTGCTGCAGTTTATGGATGTTTTTGTGAAATATCTGTATGAAATAATTCATCAAGTTGAATATCAGACTGCCACTGTGATGGGTCTAAGACTACCTACTATTCAAGCTTCATTTACTGGAATGATTGATCCATTGATTTCCATCAGAACTGCAAGACAGGGCACATCACAGGAACTGTGAAAACACCAGCCCCTTCTCCAAATGAAGCCCTTTGTTATTTGCGCTGCTCAGACAGTATCTTAATTTCATTAGGGATTGATCCTAGTCTGGGGTGAAACAGGTGAAAATTAAACATGGAGAGGACGTAGGTCATGAAAACGCTTTAGGGCTGCTGAGGTCTTAGTTGGAGGTGGGTTCAAAGGTTTGGAGATGGCCAGGGTACAGTGTGAGGGGCTCAACACTCATAATTACCCCTGCACCAAAATCTCATGCTTCTAGCCATGGTTTTTAGGGCTGAGCAGAGGCCAAGCACCTCCCACAGGCAGAGTAGGGAGTGCAGGCAGGGTGGGGGAGTGGGGGAGTGGTGGCGTAAACATTAAAAATCGAATGGGCAACTCACCTCAGGTTGTATAGACCTCCTCACAGCCAGCTGGACAGAGGCCTGGAAGCCAGTTGCCTGATAGCCATCTTGGCTTGGGGATGGCTAGTGGCAAAGACAGACCTAAAAAGGGGAAAAGAATAAAATGTCTTAAAAAAAGAGGGGGAACAGGAGGAGGTAATGAGCTACTGTGATAATGGAATAAGGGCTGCGCTATCTCTCCTGCTGCATTGATCACCATCCACACCTACTGTGCTTTTACAAAGGCCTGGGCCATTCTACTCTGTGAGAAAGCCACAAATATTTACTCTGCTATTGTGCTGTCTCACCTTTTACTACCTTTGTTTTCATCCCGGACGAAGTTCTTGCTGTGCTTGTTGATAGAGTAGTTGGTGAGGTGCATACAGATGTCCTCCTAGAAGGATCGGAAGCACAGGGTCGTCAGCATCAATAGGAATGTCAAATTGCAGCCAAGTTTCAACAAGCTGCTACATTGGAGTCCAGCCATGCAATTGCTATTAACTCATTCATGACAGTTTCACTATGAGCAGAGGGGCAAACAGAGTTTCCGCTACCTGGGTACATATAGCTAGGGAATAAACAACAGCTAGAAATAAAGATCAGGCTTATGTTTGTGTAGCCCCTTATGTGATCTCAGCACATCTCAAAGCACTTTAATACTGATCGTGTACTATGTGAAGTAAATGCTCTAAGTAAGGGGAATGCAACATCGAATTTTAGCACAGCAAGCTCCCATAAGGAGCAATGAGATAAACGTTGGGTAATCTGTTTTAGTGACATTGATTAAGGAATAATATAGATCAGGACACCAGGAGGAACACCCATGCTTTACGTTAAATAGTGGTATGGGGTCCTTTAATGTCTACCAAAGGAATAGGCAGGTTCTTACAAGCTTCCAACAGTGTAGCAGCCCCTCAGTACTACGCTGGAAATGTCAACCTCAATTATGGCAAAACTTTGAGATTGTACCTTGAAGGCTGGACCTATTGAGCGAGTGTGCTACTCATTGACAGAGTCATAGTTGACATCAAAAGCACTGCAAAAGTAGTGCACTTCCAATGGGCCAGGACACCTATGACTACGTCACACAACTGGACATTCATCCATCTGAGAATAGTGACAGGTTGATTTTCCATGAGGTGAATCATGGCCCAGCACATTCATGTTCCCACACAACATATCAGCACAGTAGAATGGGAATGTTGAATCAGAGACACTAATCCAGAATTATGGCTGACTTTTTGTTTCGTAATTCTCCCTAGCACAGAAAAAGCCATTTCTTTTGTTCCCATCTTTCAAAAGTCCAAATGAAAGATGGAGTTAATTGGATACTAATGAGACTGTTTCAGCCTAACCCACCCATCAGAAAGATGACGGAATGGGTGCAATGCTGGTTTTATCCCCTCTGCAATCCCGCTATCCATTGAATTCATGGAAGACAAACATTGGGCAGGCTGTTCAGTTGCCCACTCTAGCTGATAATAACCCTGGAGCTTTCATCAGGATGACTGTACTGTCCAGTTACACAGTATTTTTGCCCAATTTGAAAATTTTGACTACGCACAAACAAACATAATCAAGGAAAGTTCATTTAAAAAAATTATTTGAACGTGCCAGCATTTTTTTCCACAGCAGAGTCTAAGAGATCCATATCTATCCTGGAGATGAGCTTGGAGGGGTGGCAATGAAGAAGTGAATGGATGCATTGCAACAATCATACAATCCTTTCGGGTGAAAGGACACAGCAGGAAAAGTGGCCCAACCAAGACAAAAAAAAGAGATGCGTCATATTAGATCCAAAGAGGAGTCACCAAATTGCTATTAAAAAATGTTACAAGCCTGAGAGCTGGGAGCAGTTTAGAATTCAACAAAGGAGGAGTGAGCGGTTAATTAAGAAAGGAAAAACAGAATGAGAGAAACTTGTAAGGAACATAAAAGTGGACTGTGAGAGGTTCTACAGGTACATACAATGGAAAAAAAATTAACAGACAAATGTAGGCCTCATATCTGAAACTGGAATGATAACTTAGAATACTGTGAACAGCTTTGGTCTCCTTATCTAGAGAAAGATACACTAGCATTGGAGGCAGTTAGGGTAGGTTTACCAAGTTGATCCCAGATTTTGAGGGATTTTCTTATGAGGAAAGGTTAAGTAGGTTGAGCCCGTACTCACTGGCACTTAGAAGAATGAGGGGCAACTTTATTGAAACATATAAAGATTCTTAAGGAGGTTGACAGGGTAGATGTGGAGATATTATCTGAGAACAAGACGTCACATTTAAGACACAGATATGAAGAAATTTCTTCTCTTAGAGAATACTGAATCTTTACCAAAGGGCTGTCAAGGCTTGGTTGTTAAGAATATTTAAGGCTAAAACAGACAGTATTTCAATCCAATATCCACAACAAGCCTAGCAACTCCAACAGTTACCTCATATACATCTCGTTGCACCCTGCTTCCTGCGAGGCTTCCATTCCATTCTCTGAGTTTTTCTGCCTGTTACATCTGTTCTGATGATGTCACTATTTTCCTCAATCAAGGATTCCCCCCATCCCTACCACAATGGCCATTATCTGTGTCCGACCCATCTCGCACACTTCTGCCCTCACCCTTTCCCCGCCTTCTGTGAACAAGAATAGGGTTCCCCTTGTCCTTACTTACCACCTCACTAGTCCTTGCATTCAAAAGGACCATTCTAAGCCATTCCCACAACATCCAACAGGTTGCCACCACCAAACAAACCTTCCCCTCCCTTCCACTATCAGTACTATAGAGTGATCATTCCCTCTGACATAGCCTAATCCATTCCTCAATCACTCCTAACACCCCTTGACTCCCCCGTGGCACCTTCCCATGCTATTGCAGAAGATGTAACTCTTGCCCGTTCACCTCCTCCCTTCTCACTGTCCAAGGTCCCAAACACTCCCTCCAGGTGAAGCCACGTTTTACTTGTACTTTTTTTCCCAAACTAGTGTATTACGTACCCCCACTCACAATGCAGTCTCTTTTACTTTGGCAACACCAAACACAGACTAAATGACCGCTTTGCAGAATGGCTCCACTTGTTAAAAGGAATTACCCTCACCTCCCAGGTGTTTGTGAATTCAATAAGCCACCTTGCTGTCATGTTAATATTTCCGTCCTGGGTTTGCTGCAATTCCAACAAAGCACAATAGAAGCTTGAAAAACAACACCTCATTTTCAGCTTAAACACTTTACAGCCTACACTAGATTTACATTTTACATATCAATGACTCAACATTGAATTTCATAACTTCAGAACCAGACCATATTATGTCTGTTCTCTATTTTTCTTACAATCGCTGCTACCATCCGCTAAAACTTGGCCTTGCTTTCTATACTCTTAGTAGAGAGGACCCATCCTCTCCTTTTCACACCTTAATACATACCCATTTTACATCTTTTCATCTCTTTCAAGTCCAGTACAGGCCCTCAGTTTTTTGCACTTGGCTTCTGTACCATTTGACCTCATGAACTTACTCTGTCGCTGTCAAAAGTATATGACAAAAAATTTTTCCAACTCTTTTCAATTCTAAAGAGTCGTACCAGACTCGAAGAGCTAACTGTTTCTCTCTCCACAGAGGCTGCCAGTATTCTCCGTGGCTTTTTCAGATTTTTAAACAGTGAGGGGTATTGGGGTAAAAACCCCTGAAAAGTGGAGTTAAGGATTATCAGATCAGACATGATCTCATTGTGGAGCAGACTCAATGGGTCGAAAAGCCTACTTCTGCTCCTACATCTTATAATCTTATGGAGAACTAGGAAATGACAGAGCAAATATACAGAGATAACAAGGTGTAGAGCTGGATGAACACAGCAGGCCAAGCAGCA